GAAACGCATTCGAACTGCGATTACAGGAAACGCGACAAAGATTTTGTAACAAAACTCAACACCAAATCACAGATTCATTAAAACATTGGATTTATTTCAATAAAATGAATGAATGGATAAAAACACATATGACTTAACCATTGATAAGACAATATATTACCAAAAAATGGTGAAATGATTATATCTTCTCCATTGCATATCTCCCTCTGGATCTCCATCTTGTCAACCGGTCGGGTATATTATATATAATAAGGTATTCCCGTCGATAGTTGTGATAGTGGTCCAGTTGTACACACAATAGAGTTAATGCCATCAATAAGGCAAGAATTAGCTTAAATTTTGCTGATTTAGACATACTTTTAATTGTTCGCTAATTAAATGCAAAACATTTATAAATCTCATACAATTTGTGCGATACAGACAACAGTAGGTTTAGAGAACAAGAATTTGTCAAAAACTGCTCAAATGTTCATAAATTGTTGACTGTATCCTACGGTAAGTTAATAGAGATTTTATTTTGCAGCACTGTATACATATTAATACATCAGACAACACAATTACAATAATCTATGGATTTTGTGCTTGGATTACTTGATAATTTGTCTTTGTAAATATAATTTTTATTTTTAATTATTAATATAATTTTTTTTATAAATTAATATAAATAATATAAATATCCAAATATAGTACCCTACCTATGATTTCAAAACGTACAGTATAATACAATAAATTCTTAATATATATAGTATATATATTATATAATTTGTAATTTAGTTTATAAAAACAATTTCATAAATAATTGTTTTATAAGTTAATCCTCGTTTACTTTCAAAATATATCATAAATATGCCATACATTTAATAGTTTGAGATAAAATTATTATTACTAAACTATTGTATTCGTAAAATATCAGTTTACAGTAATAACTTTGAGCTGAATACAATAAATTATTTTAAAAATCAATGAAATTCTATAACAAAAAATATTACACAAATATGAGACAAATTTAAACATTGAGTTCATTACATTATCACATCATATATGAGTTAATCAGTTAAATGACTAAATATCCACTCATTTTACTATAAAGTTGTCGATTGATTAAAGTCTTCGCGAATACAACCATTGGGTAACAAAAATGTAAACTTTTCCGGATTTTGGACCAAATGTTTTGGCAAATTAGTCATAGTTTTGGACTTAGGAATGGCACCGAATTTCAACACCATTTCCTTAAAACTGTATACTTCTGGATACATATCATAGATGTCTTCTCCATTGCATATCTTCTTCTGGATCTCATTCTTATCCAACAGTTTCTTATCAACAACTCTATCATTATGTGAATACGAAGTCATTTTAAATACAAAGTCAGAGATATGTCGGAAACAAAAGGAGCAGTGCCAGCCTATGGGGAAAGGCAATTGTTTATATGATAAAAATTTCAATGAGCAATGTCTTAAAAATCTCACCCGAATCGGCTAACAAATTGTCGGACAGTCTTCCGTGTCTGTAATCAAACTCGTGGTCATAGATGTCTATGTGAGCCCTCCAACTGTCATCAGTGCTGTAGAAGTACTCAAATGAATACAAATACATATTTAGCTGTAAATGCATGTGATTTGGAAATCCGATGCAATCTTTCAACAGTTGAATCGTCTGTTGGGATGGGATCTCATCCACGTCTGAGCAGACAATCACATCACCATTTCGGGCATATTTAGATACAATTCGACTCAAATATCCCCTCATTTGTGCCTCATTTTTGAAGGGATCCTCTCCGGGCTTCAGTGCTGACAATCCATCATAAGAATGGTATCTGAGTTTGTCTTTAGCCCACGAGAACCGATCCAAACTCTGCTTCAGATAAAGTGGTTTTTGTCTTCCGGTGAAAGTTCTGTCGGCCTCTAAGACAATGAAGTGGTCGACAAAAGGCCACAACTCCTTGAGTCGGATCTCCAATAAGTCCAACTCTATTGAGAATATGATTGCATCGATCACTTGAACCTCTTGTGCCCTCCTCTGCCAACTGTGCAGATGACACAAATGGCTTGAATTCAGACCATTCGTGTAATAATGTGGTAATATATTGAAAGGCACCGCTTGGCTCCCATCCCATATCGGTCTTAAATTATTTATTAACAAAACCAATAATTAACAAAAATTAAGTAATGAAAAACTTTTAAATGTTCTTTGAAAATAATAATTATTAAATATCAATACCAATTATAATACACTACTATGTATGTACCATTATGGATTGGAAGTTTTTACTGCTATACATATTGGGATACTGTTTACGACAAAATTTTGACTCGATTGTCGTAAACAGTATCCCAATATGTATAGCAGTAAAAACTTCCAATTCATAATGGTACATACATAGTAGTGTACAATATAATTTAAAATGTTTTTAAACAATACTGTGCAATAATTATTAGTTATAACAGTAAATATTTCCAATAAAAATAGTACTGCTAACTAAATTAATTACTGTATTGCATAAAACTCAACAAATGATATCTATAGTACTTCCACACCTAAATTATCTCAAACTCCAGGTGCATTCATTTGTTTACAACATATTAATCATATCAACCAATAAAAAGTACTATAAAGTGAATAAAATAATTTACAACATTACACATAAAACATGATAAAAATCTACAATCAAATCAAGTGAACCGTAAATTCATTCACAAAAATTGCTACAAAATATTGATCGATACAATAAGTGCCAATGACATACCTGGTCAGATACAATAGGTCTCTAACCGCTACTTTAGTCGACGTCCAGTTGTATATAGAGAATATGGTTAATGCCATGATTAGCACGAAAATGATTTTCAAAATCCTAAGTTTAGGCATCGCATCGGGGTTTCCATTCGTGCCGATCACCAATCATAGCTTGATTTGTGTGTAAAAATTAAAAACATAATTATAATTACATGCATATTAATAACTTTTTTTAAATGAAAGGATATTTTACAAGAGAATTGTGTGTTACTATTAGTACTACTAATGGAAAGGGAACTCATTGTTGCAAAGCCGTAGTCATAGAAATTCAATAGTTGTAACGATTTGTATATTTGATTCAATAAACTATTTATACATATTGTACACAACAAATTAATAGAAATATATATATAATATATTTATACAATATATACCATACGAAAGTTTTTTAATGAGGAAAATGCATGTCATTTGCGAACACAGCTATCAATTCATGTACTCTTCTTGGCACCTGTCGCGGATCGCACCGGACATAGGCATCACTCAATTTAATCACTAGTTTTTTATGTTAAATATTAATTTATTTTTTAAAAATATTTTATTCACAGATACACGATACGTCACTATAAAAATCAAATTAGATCTAGACTTGTGTTATATTCAGTTGGGAATAAACTTTAAGCACAGGTATGTTATTACCACTAAACTATTGAAATTCAAAAACATGAGAATTATTGAATTAAATGTTAGACTATGATTATTTGAAAGCTTTGGTAAGCGGCAATCTTTATATAAATAATGCAATTCTTTATTATTGGAAAAATGTTTATTTGAAAGGGAACTGTAGCTCATCCGTAACCTACATATCACTTTATTATCTTACAGAGTGGTTGACTACTATACCTGCAGATCATTGAGAATCTTCGGCATAAGTGATCCATTAGTGGTAATCAGTTTCCGTTGTTAAGTGACACAGACATGACTTCAGCGCAAGAATTCAACTTAAATACAGTATTAAACGAAACAAAACAGTTGTGAAGTTATAAGTTATGCTGAGTTTGCTAAACATTTGTATCATTTATAAAATGAACGGTTCTTAACAAAATTGTTATAATTAAACTATTAATAACTTTGAAGTGAACGTATATTTATAACTCTTACGAGTGATTCGCACGAGTGATATATAATTTTTTTCGCCACTAATTCAAAATAAATGACTCTTCACTCGGATGTGTCTTATCGCGAGCTTTTGTTTAAGACATAAGTGTTTGTGTAATATTTATTTTAGTAGTTTCAGAGGTGCACAGAATACTATAGCGCACGGGTATCACTATTTTATACTGTAGATTAAGTATACTTACTAATTAACAATTAATAGCATTTCATAAGATGTGAAAACATGTGAAAAGATTGAATAAAAATTTTACTTATCAGTGGATCTAAAAGTTTACTACATTAGCCAACCCTCATATCATTGACAAATTAAATCTAAACATTCACTACAATGTAGTCTAAACTCGCATTCCTTTCCAAACAATAAATATGTAACTAAAGTAACCAATCGTTTAAATCATTTGCTATTAAATTAGGCATAACATTCAAACTAAATATCTATTTGCAACAAAATATAATAATAAATACCTTTACTTCAATATCAAAATTAATTTACCGTAAATACACAATCATAATTAAACAATCAATAATTTATTGTTATTAAGCAATGAATAAAAGAAAATAAAAATCATATGATATTTGTGTCAATTATACAACAAAAAACTCTAAAACCAATTACTTTCTCCTATTCTTCAGCTTCGGTTTACCCCTCTTTCTGGCGTTAAACCTAAACGTCTTTAACGGATCCGAATCCCTGTCCTTCTTATTCTTCACGTGTTTCGGACGTCTCTTCCTTTTGGGAGTGTAGCTAAGGCTCGCCTCCTCTTCCAGTCTCTTATTTGAGCCCTTTTTCGACTTAACCATCGACTGCAGCGTTGGCGGAACGATATACTCGGGAACGTCCCTCAAGTGTTGCTTATGTTTGACTGTATGTAAGGCGCGGTCGTGTTTCAGCACCTTCTGGTCCTTCGGGTTGGCCTCGAAATAGCTCTTCAGCGTCTGACTCGTCAGTATCTCGCGTTTTATTTCCTTAATCCTCGCCTCGCGTACGGCAATCGTCGTCACCGCTCGCAACGCATCTCTGCTCCGGTACTTAAACGCCTCCAACTCCTCCATCCGGAACTGATAGGGCCTGAAGTTGGCGCCCGAGCCGAACGACGCCTTCACGGTCTCGAAGTAGTCCTTCTCAGGCGGGCATATCAGCGACAACACCGTCCCCTCGCCCGAGTCGTCACCCCTGGCCACCCGTCCCACGCGATGCGTATACGACTGGACAGTCGTCGGGAAGTCGAAGTTAATCACATTCGACACGTACTGGAAGTCTATGCCGCGGGAAACGCCGTACTCCTCGTCGGGCCGACGCTTTGAATGCGATTTCTTGGACTTCCGCTGCGAGGCGTCGGCGCAACACTTCTCGTCCGACGCGATGATGATCTCATAGACACCGGCGTTGAACTGCTGGACCGCGTGGCAGCGGCTGGCAATCGGGAGTTCGCTGTTGAGAATACAGGTGCGGACACCGAACTGCTCCAAAAAGAGCTTCAATTTGTAACACCTGTCCACCGACGAGACGAAGACAATGGTTTTGCCGCGAATGAGACCCAATTTGAACATCGAGTTAATTAACACAAACTTCTCCTCCTCTTCGTGGCACTCGATGTGATACTGAAGTAGTTTATCGCTCTCCGGGAGCTCCGGCTCCTCCAGCTTCAGGATCACCGGGTTGTGTAGACACAGCTTCTTCAGCGCCTTCACCTCCGGGTTCAGTGTCGCCGACATTAGAAAGGATTGGCAGCCGATGGCGGGCACCGACTGCAGCACTCGAGTCAAGTCCTGTTCGTAGCCGTAGGAGAACATGAGGTCCGACTCGTCGATCGCCAGATACCGGAGCTCTCGCTTCAGACTCGGCAGGTGTTTGGCCTCAATGTGGAGGAGGACACGACTCGGCGTACCGACGATCACGTCGGGCGTCTCGGCGGTCATCACACCCTTCAGGTCGTCCACACGACCGGTGCTGATGTCGAGCACCGTTATCTCGCGCGAACAGTAGGCCGTCAGTTGGCGGAAGTGTTGCGTCAACTGAGCGCACAGTTCTTTGCTGGGACTCAGCACCAGAGCCCTCACATGTCTGGCGCTGTCATCGCTCGCGAGGGCGCCGTCTTTGATGGCCAACAGGCCATGGAGTATGGGGAGGGCGAAGGCGGCCGACTTTCCGGTGCCCGTACGCGCTTTGGCTAAGATATCGTTGCCCTCGAGGGCCAGTGGTATGGCCCGCTCCTGGATCAGTGTCGGTGATCGCCACCCGCACGAGTCAATGGCCCTCAGCAGTCGTGAATCCAATCCCATTTCGCTGAACTCCACGTACTTGGGCTCAGTGTCATCGGTGGCGGTGGTGGTGGCGGCCGTGTCGTCGCCCATGGCTCGAGTGTGCGGTATCTTTGTGGTGGAGATAATTGTCTCAATCAAGTGATGTCTTGCGGTGTGAAGCGAGCGATGGTCTTATGAGACCATTGAGTGATGACAACAAAAACACGTGTGTTTTAAACGCCACTCGCAGTCACACGCATGCGCTCTACCAGTGGGCGCTGTGTTTGAAGTGTGTTTGTTCATTCAAATGATAAAAGGTTGTTTTCAATTAATTACCAGTGTGAGTTTAATTATTTTTTTACAAAATTATTTTTAGTGAATGTAATTTTGATTACTACCATGCTCATTTTGTCATTTAATATAGCCTTAATGTGTTTAATATATAGTATTTACTGGTTGTAATTACCAGTATAGCATTAAATGTTGAGTTTGTTGTCCATTAGTTATCGTTAGGGCCATATAATTCCGGGTCAAAAATATTTTATTAAAGTATAGAGTGTCACATTGCATTACAACTATTTCAATTGAAAATAAATTGATTATATTTTACAAATAGATTTGGGATTGAATGCGAAATAATTAATTCATTCAAATATAAAACAATATAAATATCACTTCAAAACTCGATATAATAAACTGATTTTATGATTTAATACATAAATTAAAACATTCAAATAAAATAAATAAATTGCATTCCAATCACACCATTAATACACTCAACACGTGCTTTCAAATCACATGAAATATTTTGTAAACATCTAACACAAAATAAGTCATAAGATTGTCTTATCTATACTGAACACCCTTTACTTTCAAATAAAACCTGTTTAATGCAGTAGTTTTATACATGAACACCCGGAATTATATGGCCCTAGTTATCGTAAAAAGTTATTAAAATTAGTAATAAAACTAAGGTTAAGAAACGATTTAATAATACTCAACACAAATGTCTCGTTATTTTTTAAAGTGCTTGGATTTTAAACTTTAAAACCCACAGTCATTTTAAATTACTAATTTCTAAAATTATTTAATCTCTCTCTCTCTCTCTCTCGTATTTGTTTGTTTAATGACTAGAATTTAATTAGAATTTCAAATTAATTCCTCAAAATATTTATAAGAAATAAAAATACAAAACAAAACAATAATAAGTAAGTTCTGAAACTTTCCGTCATCATTAAGATCGCGGTTAACATCAGATAACAAAAGCATTTAGTTTTAAGTTTCAAACAACTTTTAATCATCGTCTCAATCGTATAATTATAAACTTTATAATATAAAGGATTATATTACATTTTATAGTTTACTAGTGTATGCAACTCTACACTATAATCCTATTAACGATATATTTTTATACTTATTTATACAGTATTTTAAAATTCTAATTAATCATAAAAATTATTTTTTAATGTGTATTGTATTTTTGTGTACACAATAATAAAGCAATAATTTATAATTTCCTACAAAAAAAGTTCAATTTGTTTGGTTCAGCGCTTAAATTAAATTAAATATACAATTAATATCGAGTGCAGTGTATAATAATCGCTAGAATTTACAGTACTTTTTATGAAACTCATTAAATACTGGTTTTGGGTTTCAGCGAGAATATGCAACATTAATTCAAAGCATAATATTTGCTTTCCAATGGCATAAAACAGGCAAAAAATGAGTGCAAACTTTCTTTATATAAAAAGTTAAGTGAAGTGTTTGACTAATAAATTAATTACAAATGTGTTTCTCAACACAAATCTCTACTTAACACTCAAAGTATGTATGTATTTATGTGCATTTTTATGGCACAAAAATATTTATTTTTCAAAGTTTGTATAAAATTTAGTGAAAAACATTTGTGACTCCGGAAAACAAGCCATAAATGGATGTTCACTCGCGTCCAATACTCTCAATACTAAACACATTTATATAACTTTTAGTATCAGTTTGACGGCTATGACTGCAATGCGCTGAATGTGCGATATTTATAGCGATTTCTCTCTACACTACCAGTGCTGCTGCTATCGATGCTCACGAGTCTACCAGTGCTCAAGAGCACCCGGTGTAGATATGTCACAGCCCTATTCCGTAGGCCTATTCTCTCCCTATCTATCCACTCTCCCAATGAAGGGAAAGGCAGACAACAAACAAAACGCAAACATAATATATAATGTTTTGGAAACTGAAATGTCAGTTCAGTTTCCCCATTGAAAGTGATGTGTATTTTAAGAGTCACTCTCGAGGAATAGCATTGAAAAAAATCTAAAAACAGGAATTATTAAAAGTCTCGACAATGTATTCGCTGTTATCATACACACAGTGTGTGTATGAATGAGTGAATGAGTAGTACTTTTTTCTCGAGTGAAATCCTTGAACACAGGCTATAATTACTATGTGGTTAAGGGTTGTGCCATAACATGATTCTCAGTCGCAACATATTTATATACATTTAAAGAGCCTTTTATTACTGTTTTTTTCATCGCATGTATTGGTGTAGTGTCTGAGCCGTAGATCCACTGCCATCCCCAGACCACCGCCAGAACAGGTACTGTAGAGATATATTTGTTATACACGGCTAACCGTATCAGCGATTCTTGTATTGTGTTTGCATTATTCAGTTACTCTATTGTGTGTATCCGCTATACATAGACCTGTGCGAGAAATCTAGTTTCTAGTGTTTGTCTCTAAAAATACTTTTTATATATTAGTCTATTTATAATTGAAAAAATTTCCTATTAAAGTAGTGTATATAATTAAATCGACTTAAGTTATTATTATAATTATTAATATCACCGCAAATTGAGTCCAAACACATGCGTATATGCCTTACCATCCGTTCATTTGATGACATATTGCAGGTCTGGACCACTGACTGACTGATTCACTGCGACTACTGTTCCACTACTCTATTAAAGTGATAAGTTTTTCATACGCGAGGGAAAAGTATTAAGAAATTTGTGATTTAAAATAAAATCCAACGCTCGGGAGCCGTAATATGCAAACAGACACACCAAGTGCTAGCCTGTCAAAGGAGGAACGGGAGGAACTGGTCAAACGATTAACACCACTTCAATATCGTGTAACTCAGCATAAAATCACTGAAAGGTACGGCTCTCTCCTCCTATGAATGAGTACTTAATTACGAAAATAATTTATTGTTTTATTGCATGACTTGACTTGAATGCGAGCCTTAATACCATTATTCTGTATATTGAAAGACACTATTGTCTGCCTATTCACTGCCCTATTCTTTTGGCATTCAAAATGCCATTCCTTGTTATTATACATACATAGAAACTACACGAATAGTATTATCGATTTTTTGCAGACCATTTACCGGTGAATACCTGAAACTCAATGACAACGGTCTATACTGTTGTGTGGTTTGTGGCGAAGAGATATTCTCATCGGAATCCAAGTACGAGAGCGGCTGCGGATGGCCTGCATTTGATGGTGTGATCAACAACTCTAAAGTCAAACTCAATATCGACTTATCGCACGGTATGTTAAGATCTACTGTCAAACTGTCTGTCAATCTATTGTTTTACACACTAATGTGTAACAAAAAAAACATCTGATAAAATCATAAACAAACATAACCTACTTTTTTAAAAATATAAGTCTAACCCTCGCTGGTTAATACTCCAGTGCCTTATCAGTGCACTTATTATCGCACATAAAACTCTTCGCATACCAAACAATAACTCATTTCTCATATCATATCTTATATGAAAAAATACTTTGCATTCCCATTGTTTTCCTATAATAATAATCTATATTTCTCTATTGTATTGAATTGAATAGTCGGCAGTAATTTATTGCTGTTGGCGCTCAAGTCGGATGTGGCCCGGACTGAGGTGTCCTGTGCCCGGTGTGGCAGCCATTTGGGCCACGTCTTTGACGACGGCCCCAAAACCACTGGCAAACGCTACTGCATTAACTCGGCATCACTCAAGTTCCTGGATGATGATGATGATCACCGCCACAAGCCACTGAAAGCGCTGCAAAATACGACTGTCCCCGCCAACGGACACACCTTTGATACAAATATGGGTACAAACGTTACGTCAGACAAGCAAAGAATCTCAACTAATTATTGCAATAATAATAATAATAATAATAATACTATTAATGGCAGTAATAACAAGAATAATGCTATTAATAGCAGTAATAATAAGCAAACATTTTTGTCGAAACCGAGTCTCAATCCATTGACGCATAAAACTTTGATGGAAACACACCTCTAAATACACCATTGATATCATTGGATCAACTGATTCGCCGATGATTACCACTTAATTCTTTGGATTATATCTCCCCTTTCTCAGATACCTACTCTACCAGTATATATATCCTGTAGTATCTAAATGTCTACTGATTTTTTTCTCAACGCTTTTCAATACCGACTATTCTGTGAATACGAGCTTCTCATACGTGTGCCACAAATGTCTGTCACAGTTATTGTCAACACAAGTTTTCCAGTTAATAAGGCATTTAATTTAAATTATTATTAATGTTCATATATTTTTTGAGACATCTATTTATCCTAAACTCACCAAACATTTAGGAGAGAATCACATATTTATAGTAGTTTTTGATGCCATTTATCGCGCGCGAGACCAGAGTCTGAGACCAATCATTGAGATTAGCATTTGTTTTATTCATATTGAAGGCCCTATTTATTTATATTACATATTATTTTTCACTTATTATTTAGTTATTATTATTATTATGATTATTAAATTTGTTTATAGCTAGTTTACGTTAGAGAATATTTATGTAAAGTTTTTTTAGAGTTTAGTTTTCAAATGTTAATTAGTTATTTTGGTTATTTTTGTTTAATTTTACGTTTTTATGTTCGGGCAGTTATTTCGTGTATTTCAATATACATGTTAACGACAAAGTGATTGATTAATGGGTAAACATAATTCAAAATCAAGTTTTTTGAACATTTTGAACACAAAATACCTTTAGTGATCGTATCGCTTAAATTATTTGGAAATAACGATTTGATATCGCATTAAAAGTTAGAAAAAATGAAATTTTGAATTAATAAGCAGCTCTCGACAACAAGTTATAGTTGATTATAGTCTAGTCATAGATTTGTGAATCAAAAACTACATTGTGTTTAAATTTAATACAAAAATATAATAATAATAACAGATTTCTATAATAATTGAAAAATTTATTATCGAATTAAATTCGCGTAAAATATTAATGAGATAATTTTTAAACAACATTATACTATTAATTAATTTGTGATTTTAATAAAACTTGTAATCAAAAAGTAATTAAATTAAAATATAAAACGACAGTTGAATACCATTAAACTATATGATATATATGATTAAAAAAGTGAGACAGAATTTAAATTATAATTTTTTATGTGCTTTTACTCTACTCTATACACTATACTGACTGATAATAATTATAAATAGTTTGTAACAAATTGTATTTCACTTCTCATTTGTAATCAACGAAATGAATGAATAAATAAAAATGTTGATGAGAAACAAAGTTTAATTAAATTTCTATAATTATTATTTCAAAACATATTCACATGTCTTTTGCCGATTGAATGATTTGAAACTTAATTATTAAAATAAAAGTAACAAAAAAATCTTTATCTAACCATTGATGCGATTAGAAGGGATTTTGAGATAAAAACTTATTTATCATATTATTTATCATAAAATATAGATTTCGTATTGAGATATAGTGTTTTTGGGGGAAATGTATGACATTTGCTATTCTTTATGACTCTATCGGCTCTTCTGTCAGTTCAATAGATTTCTGAATTATATTTTGAATAAAATTATTTTAAGTGACAGTAAAATACAGTACTTTAGCATAATTTTATGTCGTTTAATGTCATTATAATCTTCGCCGATGAGAGAGTCATAAAGAATAGCAAATGTCATACATTTCCCCAAAAAACACTGTATATCTCAATACGAAATCTTGAGAGAGAGAGAGAGAGAGAGAGAGAGAGAGAGAGGCAGTGAATATGTGGACTCGAATGAGATCGGAGTCTCAATGAATTCACAGTTTCAATGAATGATTGATTAGTCTTATACTTGATTTCAAAATAAAAAGTAATCCAATGATTGATATCCAGTGTAATGCATTTTACGGTATAATACAAAGTGTAACATAAAACATGACTATTATTTAATTGAAATATTTATGAAGTCAGACACAAATGGAAAGAAGTTTTGAGTTAAACCACTCGTACAATGAATAATAGCATCAAAAAATTTAAGGCATTTATCAAACAAATGTACTGTATTTTATCAATGATGAGAGACATTACAATATCTACTGATAAGCATTTTTAGGTGAATATTTTTGACATCAATTACTCTATTAATAGTATCCACGGTATTATTTACTAATCATTACTTAAATAAACCGGATGCCTTTTCAACACCAAATATTCCTGTAGTTTAAATATGTATTTAACTCATAATACAAATGGAAAATTTTCCTATCAATTATTAGTTATAATTTTTTTGACATTTATTATTGATGTCATTAATTGTTTGGGAAAATAATTTCCACCATACAATGGATTGGAATTTATGGATATTTCCAATAATTATAACTTAACACAACATTAATTAAACGTTAAGTTCATTATATAGTAACACTCTAAGAGTTTGGGTTCAATTCAATTGTCAGACCTGTCTGTCAGTGGTTTTGACTAACATTAATGTATAGAGTCGACCGCAAAACCAATTAAAGTCTATTCACTCATAAGACTTAACTGTATTCGCATTATATGTCATTATAATTACTGCCTTTCATTGTTAAAACCTTTTCATAATTGACTCTCAATTCAATACAATGACAAACAATTGAAGCGAACAATTGGTTTCAATTAAAAACTCGATGTTTTAGCTGTCATTATAAGCATATCCTTCCGATAAGATCTATATTTTCCTGTAATTATGACTTCCCTTCGAGCCATAGACGAAGACTCGATTCCTGAGGTCGACATGTCTGGTGTGACGAGACAGGTATGGCTCATAAAAGTGTCCAAATATCTGGCGAAACGCATGGAAAGGGCTCAACCCATGCAAGAGATCGGAAGAATACAAACGCTGGGAAAGCCGTCGGAAAAGTCGCCGCAAATCGTGTTTAATATATCGCAAGAATTGGCGGACATTCCGGCGATGGACAACGAGTCGGACAAAGAAAACGCGACCGAAATCCCGATCGACCACAAGTTCTCGGTCTCGAGACTAGACAACCAGTCGATGGTATTGTTCTCGGAGGACAGGGAGACGAAAGTGGTGTCACTGGAGGGAAGGGTCACCCAGAAAGGCGACTGTCGGCCCGTTATGTCCACTAATTTTATCGCAATGAGTCAACTGAGAGCCAAACGCGCGACACAGCCCTCCCGTCCCGTCAAACAGTTGGACAGAACCATAACGGTCTTCAAACCGGTGTCGAAGCCTACCATCAAGAAGGAGGAGCCCATCAGAAAGGTTAAGCAGGACAGGGATCAGCTGAAGGATACGGTGTTCCGCGCGTTCGAGAAGCACCAGTACTATCACCTGAAGGATCTTCAGCTGCTGACCGGACAACCACTCTATTACCTGAAAGCCGTGGTCCGAGAGCTATGCGATTACAATACGAAGGCTCCCAACAAATACTTGTGGGAATTGAAGCCCGAGTTTCGACACTATAGTAATGATGGCACTAATGATCGGGGATGGGCTTAACATAATTGCATTTTTCTTATTGTATTTTAATGCTGTTTTTTATTTGTTTTAATATTTTTAATGATTATTATTCGTGTGTAAATACGGTTCTAAATATTGACAATAGTTATTGTTTTAAAAATACTTTTTTAAGCAATTTTATTGAATGCAAAGTTTGTATGTTTAGTTGCAAAGAAAATAGTTCATACTTTGTTATCGTATTAATATTCTTATTGTATTATTGAGTTATAAATATGACAAAATAGATACTGTGTCCAATAAAGTTATAACAATTAGTAATTCATTCAAATATTGTATATAAAAAATTGTTGTGCTTATAAGTTATTTTATTTAAAAACTATAAATCTAGACACAATAATCTAAAGTAAATTTAATTACAATAAATGCAATAATAAAACTCATAGTAAAAATGATTAATACATCAAAACCAACATTAAATACAAATATGTGATAAATAAGCAAGGTCTTGAACAGTGCCAAAAATGCTTTTACCCACGACTGGTCAGCAACTGGTCGCACATAAAACGGCATCACTAACTACTCTGTGGTGATCACACGGGTTAGGCATAAAAAGTGCACCGGGAGTATGGAGTGGTAGGTGAGGAGGTTCTTGTGTCCAATTATGATAACTAAAATCTATGAAGTGTTGACAATTAGGTAGTCATTTGTGTGGAGTGTTAATGAGATACATTGGTGACCCAATTAATTATAGATAATTACTGTATGCGGACAATAGTGGACACTATTAATATAAGAAATGTATTAAATGGGCACTAATTGTGCGCACAATTCATATCAATGTGTTTATTATCAATGTGATATTAAACACTTTTTAAGTTATCATTGAAAATTGTGACTTAACATCAGATACAGTAATAATATTTATTATACTGTATAAGTTTGTGTGAATTTTGTATAAAAAATTAAACTAAACTTTTAATTTAAGAATGCGTTTAAAGATCAATCTATGTCATTTTAATTCAAATAATTCAAGGTTAAGACCTTGGAGTGAATATAAAAACAAATATCATATACAGTATAAGCGATTCTTTCATATATTCTTATGTAAATATTCCAGTTATATTATATAATATGTTATTATTATATGGATAATACAGTATATACTATATGTCAATCATTTTAACATATTAAAAAAATATTATTATAAAAAGAATATTAATATGTGATAAAACTTATATGCACTATAAAATAATATTCCGGATCACTTAAACAAAAGTTTGTATTTAGAAAAATAATTACTATAAATAATAATTATTTACTACTTTTAAATAAATGATTTATTAACATAATTAATTTTCATGTAATCATGTTATTTAAATAATACTAAACTATTATAAATACTTAACATTTAAGACACAAATTCTTGTATAAAATTCATTGAATCCAAGAATCAAAGCATTAGTCATATTCAGTGAATACATGCAACCGATAGTCGGCGCTGTATTCAAAGCATAAGTATTTGAAAACGTTATACATTTTACGTAAAAATCAAACCCTATTCTAGCAAAACATTACAAACAATTTTATGAAACACACATATTTGCATTTAGCACTAAATAAAATTAATAAAACATAAGCCAACTAAATTAAAATTCAAAACAAAACTCAACTGGCAACTTCTGGCATGGCAGTCAACCAGCACTAGTCCGCTGACCCACTACTACCCCCTCACACCTTAACCCCTATAATGGCGTAACGTTTGTTGCGATCGCTTATCCGGCTATGCGTTCACTCAATGCAGTCAATGTTGACGTGTATTGGAGGCAGCGATTGAATTGTCACCACTTATCACATCCGGACACCCATTCATCAGTACATTACATACCAATTATCACCCGTCAGACCACAGTTGGACACCACACGTGATCGGCGACCATGTCTTCGGCGGCCGACTCGATATGCTATACGTTAATCAACAGCGAGTCCGACGACAGTGTCAACGAAGTGACGCTGAGGAATGATTTAGGTTTGTATACCAATGGGCCATCACCGGCCACTTGATCCCCCCATAAGCCACAGCTAATCCCTACACACGTCTCACTCTATAATCCCCGCAGAGAAGGGCGAACTCAAGACTAAGACGGAAGCGCTGAAGAAACTGATTTATATGATATTGAATGGCGAGAAGTTTCCGCCAAATATGTTGATGACAGTCATCCGCTATTGTCTGCCATCCAATGATCACCAAATCAAGAAACTGTTGCTTATATTCTGGGAGATCGTGCCGAAGAGGGGACCGGATGGCAAACTGCTGCACGAAATGATCTTAGTTTGCGACGCCTATCGCAAAGACCTGCAACACCCCAATGAGTTCATCAGGGGGTCGACCCTCCGGTTCCTCTGCAAACTCAAAGAGCCGGAACTGCTGGAGCCGCTGATGCCGGCCATACGCGTGTGTCTGGAGCACCGGCACTCCTACGTGCGTCGGAACGCCGTTTTGGCCATCTTTAAGATATACGTGAACTTCGAGGCGCTGATACCGGACGCGCCGGAACTTATACTGGACTTCTTGAGCCGCGAGGCGGACGCCTCCTGCAAGCGGAACGCCTTCCTAATGCTGATCCACTTGGACCAGAAGAAGGCGTTGGATTACCTCAACTCATGTCTGGACCAAATCGGCGGCTTCAACGACATCCTGCAGCTGGTGATCGTGGAACTCATATACAAGGTGTGCATCGCTAACCCCAGCGAGAGGTCCCGATTCATACGCGCCATCTATAACCTGCTGAACACATCGCAGTCAGCGTCGGTGCGCTACGAGGCGGCCGCCACTCTCATTACACTATCGCAGGCGCCGACAGCCCTGAGAGCAGCCGCCAACTGTTTCATCGACATCTGCCTCAAAGAGAGCGACAATAACGTGAAGCTTATAGTTTTGGACCGATTGGTGGCGCTCAAGGAGTCGACCTCAGCGGCCGAACGTATACTTCAGGACTCGCTGATGGATATCCTGAGGATTCTGAATGTGGCCACAGATCTGGAGGTGAAGCAGAAGATTCTGAGCTTAGGTCTGGATTTGGTTTCGTCGCGAAACGTGGAAGAGTTGGTGCAACTGTTGAAGAAGGAGATCCTGAAGACGCAGAGCGAGTCTCAGGGCAGCGGCGAAGAGACCAACAAATACCGACAACTACTCGTCGGTACCCTTCACTCGATTTGCCTGAAATACCCGGACGTGATGGCGGCCGGCAATCTGATGCCGACGCTGTTCGAGCTGTTGAACAACGCGGACGACGAAAGTACCGCCATTTTGGTGATTGTCTTCACGCGAGAGTACATTCAGAAGAATTTGCCGCAAAAGAACGCCATCGTTGGCCGCATTCTGGAGGTGTTTCCCACCATTCGTAACGTGAAAGTGCATCGCGGGTTGATCTGGATTTTAGGCGAATTCTGCGACGACAACGAGGACCAGATCCAGGAGGCCATGAGTGTCATCCGCGCGGCCATCGGCGACATACCTATCGTCGAGTCGGAGCTCAAGAAACTGGAGAACGGCGTCGACGGCGAGGAGACACCCGCCCCGCAGAGCACCGTTCACACGGCGACCGCCCCGTCGGCCAAACTGGTGACCGCCGACGGCTCGTACGCCACCCAATCGGCGCTCAGCGTCAACGCGAAGGTGGAGAAGTCGGCTAATATACCGCCGCTGAGACAGTATCTACTGAACGGCGAGTTCTTCATCGGCACAGCGCTCGCTAATTGTTTGGTGAAACTGGCGCTCCGTTACCGGCAAGTGGTGGGCGCCGGCAAACAGGCCAACACTTTCTTAGCCCAATCGATGCTCATATTGACATCAGTTCTTCATTTGGGAAAATCCAAACTCATTCAGCAGACCATCAATGAGGACGACTTCGAGCGCATAGCCCTCTGTCTCATGATTTTGACGAACATCTGTTCGCCGAACGGCGTGACTCCAGAAGTGGAACAGCTGTTGAAAGCGATGTTTTTGTCGGAAATGCGCCAATCGTTGGACAGTATGCTCGCCAGCAGTAAGTCGGACGCCGAGGAGGCGAAGAATTCGGTGGCGAAGTCGCGGAAGAATAAGTGCGTCGAGTCTGACGATCACTTGCCGTTCACTCAACTGATGAGCAAAAACTCGGAGACAATGGAGAACCAGTTCGACGTGAGTCTGTCGCAGGCCATCGCCGGCAACGTCGGCCCCACAGCCACCACAACGCTCGGCCAGAAGTCGGTGAACGTGTCGGACCTGTTGTCGGCGTCCAAGTTGTCGAAAGTGACACAACTGACCGGTTTCAGTGACCCCGTGTACGCCGAGTGCTATGTGAACGTCAATCAGTACGACATATGCCTCGACGTGTTGATCGTCAACCAGAGCTCCGACACGTTGCAGAACTGTACGCTCGAGTTCACCACTTTGGGTGACCTGAAGCTCGTGGAGAAGCCGCAGCCCCTGGTGTTGGCGCCGCACGACTTCGCCAACATTAAGGCCTCCGTGAAGGTGGCGTCCACTGAGAACGGCATCATTTTCGGGAACATCGGTCAGTAGAGTCGCTCCTATAGGCAAATGCATGCGTTTTTGAGACTCTTTCCTAACTCTTACCCCTCTGTATACAGTGTACGACATATCGGGCTCGACCTCCGACCGCAATGTAGTGGTGCTGAACGACATCCACATAGATATCATGGATTACATAATCCCCGCCTCTTGTAATGACTCGCAGTTCAGGCAAATGTGGGCTGAGTTCGAGTGGGAGAACAAAGTGACGGTCAATACGGGGCTGACAGACCTCCAGGACTACCTGAACCACTTGATTCAGTCGACAAACATGAAGTGTCTGACCCCACAGAAAGCCCTGTCCGGCGACTGCGGCTTTTTGGCCGCCAATCTCTACGCGAAGTCCATCTTCGGTGAGGACGCGTTGGCCAATGTGTCCATCGAGAAGGCGTCCCCCGAGGCGTCCGTCAGCGGACACATCAGGATTCGCGCTAAGAGTCAGGGAATGGCACTCAGTTTGGGCGATAAGGTGAACGCCTCCCAAAAGGCCGCCAAACCATCGTAAGGCTGTGTACGGGACGGGTGGTCGGGATGTCGTCCTAACATTAATACGACTTTTTCTCGCTCTACGCCTATGTTTTGGATGTATTTTTGATGAATGAATAGTTTTTCAATGTTTTTAATCGTAAGATTCAGTTATAAATTATTATAATTATTATTATTTGCTATGAATTGATGAATAAAAATAATTTTCTCAATACTTTGATTGTGACATTTATTTGACCGCAGTATGTATGTGATGTATGTGAGTGTCAATTCAATTAAAGTTTGTCCGTCAAATATTGAGCGACATAATACCTGTCAACTTATGGTTTTGTGTGCAATTATTCACGGCTTTCAAAAACTTTTTAAGCAAGTATTACATGTAATCTAATGATTGTCTGCCATTGACATCAGTATTACAGGGGTTGGTGTTGTGCCCAATAGTAGAGATGTTATTAATACCCATTGAATGCATAATACTGTAAGCATTACATCAACTTTTATTGTGGTTTTCAAAACGCAAACCCATTGCGAGTCCACTACTAATCCATTCATACATTCACTGCATTCACTGTTTGTGTCCATCACTTGTGTCCACAATATGTCACAGCAATTGGTCTTCAAGACGAAAGTGGTCTTCAAAGTGAACCACTTTTCCAGTTATGACAACAAAGACGTGTTTAGCCGTGTATTCATCATTGGATCCGACGAGTGGCGGATCAAAGTGTTGTGCAAAACCAAAATCGCGGACTATTTGTCTGTATATCTGTGTCTATTGAAAAGCGATGAGACATCAGTGGACACGGAGTTTGATGTCTATGTTGTGGACTCGCAGTGCAAACCAATTGGGAAACCACTTCACACACGAATGAATACTACAAATGTCTTCAAAATACTGGAAGTAATGGATAAATACAATAACGAAGAGCTGAAGCGGAGGTGCATTGAATTCATTGACCAGAATTGGAGCGAATCTCTTGAGGAGGAATTGAGTGATTTCGGAGGCAGTGGTCAGTCGCTCCTCAAGGATCTGATCATCGGCTTAATGAGCGTTCGGTCGACGCGTAAAAAGCTTAAGAAGTCTTCGACGCGAACCCTATCTTCCACTTACAGTTACATCGAGTCTAAAGTGGATAATCAGTGAATCTCTAAGACATACCATTCAGACATTAATTATTTGGCTATTTTGTCAATTATTTGTTTCATTTTTGTATTCATATTAGTCTTAATGCTATATATTTTGTTGTACCGTAAAAGTTAACAAAACTTATCAAAACTTAATAAGTATTATATGATATGATATTAATATATGAATCCCTTAACTGTAATTATAATTGTTGATAACTATATCATATTAATAAATATTTTAATAGTTTGTAAATCATCCAATGTTTTGATGGCTACTATTTGTTTAATTGATTCATTAGTTTGTCATTTAATAAATGACTCATTTATTAAGGGCTCTCAAAATACAAATACTGTACGACTGGAGTGTATGTTATTTATTGACAGTCAATACAAACATTGCAAACATGTGTTCAGAAAAGTTCAAAGTTTTGCCAAACATTTCAATTTTTGTCAATTCAATACATTTTGATGTGATTTCAGTGATTACTAAAGTTGTGACAAATTGTGGTCTCAATCATGCAGTCATTCAAGCGATCATATCAGAGATTGCCGTTTAAGACACCACTCGTTAGTGGACATCAGATATTGCCCAACAAATGGTTGATCTCAAGACCCATTTGCCGCCAATCGGTGGTCCGAGTGGTAGCCGACAGCCACCGGAAGTGTTGGAAGCGTTTTGCGAGCCATCAACAGCTGAACACAAACCACAGACTTTATCCATCGGTTTTGATCCAAAGACCGGATACCAAGAGAATGGTATTCATTGATAATGAGAATCAGTTCGCCTTCAAAGTCATCGAATCGCTTATAAGCGAAGAATCGGTTGATATGAGTGAAGACGTGGTGACTAATGAATCCGTTGATCGTATTATCGATAAGTTTATAGCCATTCCTCCCGAAGAATTCAGAGACAATCCCATTGTTATCAACGATTTGGTGCGAGCGTTGAAGTCATTGAGTTTAAGACAATTGCTGTCTGTCTTGGAATCGGTGACCAAATGGCCGATTCTTGAGCTCCCATTTGATCCGTTATTCTATAAAGTGTGGTCTAATATAGACCACGAATTAGCTGATAGGCTGACAGCGGATCAGCAGTTGAATGGCAACAAAGATGTGGAGAAATACCTGTTGTTTGGAAACATGTTTTACAGACTGAAGACCGCAAACATCGCTAAATTCAACGACACTTTAGTCAAGCGCTTGAGTTCTCCTGACTTCGAGTTGAATAAGACATCGATTCTTCACCTCTTGTTTTACGCCAATCTTCACCGAACTGTTGACCCGAAAGCCACTAAATATATAATGAGACGAATGGAGGCACTCGTGAATGACATGGATTTGCATGAATTGGGAGTGTTTTGTATGACTTGTTTCAAGACGAACATCAAACTCACGGATCAGTTGTTGACCACAATTATCGGCAAATCCATTAGCGGTGTCTCCGATGAGACCAATAATATCACGCGAACGGCGATCACGAAATGCATCCGACATTCATATCACTTCCACTTTGAGCCACAATTCCGTCAATATATCGATAAATTGAAACAATTGTCCACTAATTCCGCGATGACTTCCACTCATTTGCTGAATCTTAAACACACGGCACATATCTGTGATAAGGAGCTCATGGATCAAACATTTGACAAACTTTATACCAATCTGCGGGCTTTCCGTCTCAAAGACATTGAACGCATATTCTTGTGTTTATCTAATTTTTACCACGAATTAGATCCCAAGAAAGTGGAGTCTATTTGCGATGAGTTGCACACGAATGCAGACTACTTTCAATCGTATCAATACCCGGTTTGTTTGCTCAATATATTGCATTATTTAGCGGTTTTGCAATTCTACCCAAAGTTATTACTTCGGCACTGCTTTGAAACCAGTTTTTTGACCAAAATTATGAGTATGTATGCAATCATTACATTATAAGCTATTTAATTAATTGTATTACTTTGAGGGCCAATGGATTCAAAATGAGTTTTTGTGGTATTTTATGAATATTTTTATTATTTCCGCAGAATATTCACGTATTGACTTTCAACGACATTTGCTGACAACAAATACGGCGCTATCCATAGAAAGGTACGAAGAATTTGGTGACATTCTGGTGGACCCGGAAAGGGTGTATCGCTATCACCGCTGGATTCTCACTGAGGAGAAGCAGTCCATCCCCTACATCACCAAAAGGCATCACTTGTTGAACATTATCTACATGTCTCTGAAGTCAGGTCTACAACATAGGGTGCAATTGTGCCATATATTTCCCTTCAGAAGCTATCCATTTGTGGTGATTTGGGCGCCAAATAGCAAACACTTTTCGTTGACTCCCACCACAGAATTGAAACAAAATATGTTTAACGATTGCATAGCTATTAATGTGTTGGAAATCAATGACTACGCTATTGTAGACAAACAAATCAAAGGATCCGTAAAACTAGAGAATAGATTACTTGAAAGACTCGGCTTTAAGGTAGTGGTGATGCCGTGGCACCACTTGACTGGCTATAGGTCTATGAGAGCTAAATATAATGCCATTATTAAAGAGGTGACTAGACTTGACCCGAGTTTTGGTTAAAATGTTTTTATATTTATTTAAAATAATTTGTAATCTATCTATAAATATACGTATAGTCTATGTGTATTTGAATGAATAAAATAAATTTTATGAACCTAAAAGTAAATCAAAATATAATAGTATCTATTTTTTATGGGTAAGCAATTCATGACTTTACGGTAATAATAATTTTTGATAACTATCGTATTAAATTTAATAAATATTTTTAATAGTTTGTAAATCATTCAAACTTTGGACAATGCTTTGAACGCAACTATTTGTTTAATTGATTCATTAGTTTGTCATTAAAGAATTTGCATTAAAGTCTAAATTTGTCATAATTTTAATTCAGTTGGAAAAAACAAATTTCTCAATACTTTTTGTTTGTTAATTTTATTTAAATTTACTAAATATCTGTTAGACCTTTAAACGTATTCTCACATTAAAGCAATATTTTTAACATTTATTTCATTTTCTTAGAACTGATATGTGTTTGACTCATATGCGATGTATTGCACTTTGTTTTAATCACTGCTTTTATTGCTGTTTTCATCGCAAACCCACTGTCACTGCAATACAAACTCAATACTCAGTCCATTGACTCAATCATTGACTACTTGTGTCCATAATCATGTCGTGGCAATTGGTCTACAAGACTACTGCTTTTATTGCTGTTTTCATCGCAAACCCACTGTCACTGCAATACAAACTCAATACTCAGTCCATTGACTCAATCATTGACTACTTGTGTCCATAATCATGTCGTGGCAATTGGTCTACAAGACGAAACTCGTGCTCAAAGTGAACAACTTTGCAGGCGTTCAGAACAAACAAGTCGTGACCGATAACTTGACCATTGGATCCGATGAGTGGCAGTTGCAGATATACATGAAGTGATGGGACAACGAGTATTTGTCAGTGTTTCTGGAGTTAGTGCAAAGCAATGAGCCATCAGTTGCGGCCAAATATGATGTCTATATCATTGACTCGCAAAACAAACCGATTCATCGACTGAACGGAAGAAAGCATTACTTGAAGAACAATGGATGGGTTTGGAAGCAGTTCCTCAAGTACTCCACACTCACGGATCAGTTGGACAAATACGTGCCAACGATACACTCACTCTTGGATTTGATATATTTGTCTACAAGACACCGATGGTTGGCATTCACGACATGCTATGTCTGGTGAACAGCTTTAACCGCAAAGAACTCAATGACTGTCGGCTTGTCGTCAAAAAGGAAGAGATCTTTGCCTCGAAAGCCATTCTCAGCGCCAAATCAGAAGTCTTCCGAACGATGTTTACGTCAGACATGACAGAGAAGGAGACCAATGATGTGATTATCCCTGACATCGACGTCAATGTCTTCGAGGAGTTCCTGAAATTCATTTATTTCGGGAATTCAGACAAATTGGAGGAAATGGCGGAACAGGTTCTGTACGTTTCGGACAAATATATGGTTTCAGAGCTGAAGACTATTTGCGAGAATCTCTTGTATTTGGGAATCAATACTATAAATGCATTCAAAATCCTCGAAGTGATGGATAAGTATGGGAACAAAGAGTTTGAGACAAAAGTGATGGCATTTATTGGACAAAATTGGTGCCAAACTCTTGAGGAAGAACGGCATCAATTCATAGTCACCGGTAATTTGGGACTCATTGAGAGTCTAGTGACTCGTTTGATGAGAGGTCGGTCGGAGCCCAAGAAGTGGACACAACCCACAGAAATCATGTCTTATTCTTACAGTTA